TCAAAGGCATTATTTTTTGTGAAGCAGGCATGGAAGACAAGCAGGTAAAAAGACTTTCAAAAGAAAATATATTGTTTTAACTGAAAAATCTATTGAGTTGATATATAATGACTCATTTGGTTCAATTCGAACTGTGTTTGTTAGTGACAAGAGGTATGGACTAGTCATTATAGTCAACTATACTAGATGGACATGGATAACATTCCTATCCCACAAGGATGAATCTTTGATACCTTAAATTATTTAAAAAGTTTTAAAATGAAAAAAACACATCCATTGCTTCTATCAAAAGTGATCATGATAGATAATTTGAAAATGGAATCTTTCAGCAATTTTGTGATAAAAATGGGAATGAAACATAGGTTTTCCATTCCAAAAACACCTTAATAGAATGTGATTATTGAGAGGAAAAATGGTGCTTTGTAAGAAATGACTAAAACCAATCATGTTGCATGCTAACTCTACTCCAAAACACTTTTGTGTAAAGGTAGTGAACACAACATGGTATTTGTAAAACAAAATTTATATAAATTCAATCATAAAATGTATCCCTATGAATTGTGGAAGAATAGAAAATCTCATATTTCATATCTCCATCATTTTGAATGTTTATGTTTTATGTTAAAAAAAAAAGAAAATCTTGATAAATTCAATAGCAAAAGTGATGAAGGAATTTTGATTGGACACTTTAAGAGATCAAAGGCCTAAAAAGTCTAAAACTCAAGAATTTCTTACTTTGAAAATGTTATTCATGTAAGATTTAATGACTATAAATCTAATAAAGAGTTATCAAAGTTAAATGAAACTTTTGCACAATTTCATATCATCTAAAAGAAATAATCATCAATTAACACGTCATATGTGTGAAGGTATATCAGACGAACATAAGAACACATATGTAGGAACAATTAGTTGATGGGGGATCATTTGGTTGATGTCATTCTTAGAGATCATACTAATAAAATAAGAACCAAATTATCATTCTAACACAGATAATCAACTTTTATCTCAAGCATAGAACCCACGACGATCAATGAAGCATTATATGATATGCATTGGGTCAAGTTTACACAAGAAGCTAATTCAATTCCAAAGTAATGACGTCTAGAAGCTTGTAGAGCTACCTAAGAACATAAATATTGTATGAGTCAAATGGGTCTATAGAAATAAACTAGATGAGTAAGGTAAAATTGTGAGTAACAAGATTAGATTAATGGTAAAAGGAAACTCACAATAAGAATGTATAAACTATATACAAACTGATGCACTAGTGGCTAGACTTTTAGACTTTTCACATTTTACTTGCATTTGTTGCATTCAATAAAATGAAGTTATATCAAATGAATGTAAAGGTGAATTCGTTAATAGTTAAAGAAAAAGTCTATATGGAACAACCCTTGAGTTTAAGAATGCTATTTGTCCTCATTATTTCTTTAAGCTTAAAAAATGTCTACAAGGGTTAAAGAAAACTTCCAAAGCGTGGTATGAATGATTAAGTTTACTTTTACCTAAAAATGATTTTTCTAGAGAAAAAAAAGTAGGCATCACTTTATTCAAAAAAAAAATATGACTATAATTTTCTTGTAGATCAAATTTATATTAATGATATTATTTTTGATACTATTAAGGAAATTCTCTATAAAGAATTTTCTAAGCTAATGCAAAATGAGTTTGCGATGAATATAATAGGTGAATCAAAATTCTTCTTGAGATTTTAACAAATGATTTGTAGATAATATATACATTCATCTGACAATGTAGTAAAAAAACTTATGAGAAAATTCAAGTTGGATCAGGCTAAAGAAATGAAAATTGTTATACATTCAACCACACGTTTTTTGGAATATAAGTGGAATAAAAAAAGGTGGGCAACACATCTATAGATAAATGATAAGTTCAATTCTATACCTTACCATTTATAAGTCAAATATTATGATTTTTGTATTTACGAGCACATTTCGGTTGGACTCAACAGAGGTTCACTTAACTACTATTAAAATAATCTTTTGCTATCTCCTTGAAAATGATAATCTTGGTCTTTGTTTTAAGAGCGCAAGTAGAGGTTCTTTTCCTAAGAGGAAATCTAATATCATGGGCCAATAAGAAGCAAGGAAGCACAACACTATCAAGAACAAAACCTAAATACATATATGCTCACAACTATTATGAATCAAAATAAACTAGAAGACTACAACATATATGAGATTAATATTTTTATTCTTTACAATAATAATGTTGCTATTAGTCTATCTAAAAATCCCATATTAGCAAACAGAGAAATTAAACATCATTTCATTAAGAGTTGTGTAAAAAATAGACATATGGATTTACATTTTGTGAACACAAAAATTAAAATTAATCGTATAAAAAATCTACATAGAATAATCCTTATAGAATTACATTTAATTAATATCAGAATGTACGATGGTGTGAGGGACATCAATTGACTTACTAAATGAATATAATTATAATCAAATTCTAAACTTTTCGTAACAGTAATATTTTTTTAAAATTTATATTTTTAAAGAATATTCTTATTGACATTTTCTTTTTATCATAAATATTTTATGCTAAGAAGAATAAATAAATTAAATATATTTATTTTTTTAAAATTATTAAAATAAATACACTGGTAAGTCAAAATTTTATAAGTTTTAAGACTTATTAAATGCAACATTATGTTTATATTTGAAAAAAAAATTATACACACCTATAACATGTATGACTATATTTTATGTATAAAACTAGTAAAAAATATAAAATAAAATTATAATTTTGTAGTAGATGATTATATATGGATTTTGCACCTAGTTAAAATTTAAATAAAACATTTAGTTATTCCATATTTTGGTTAAATCTAAAAATAATTTTTAATTAATTTTGAAGTTAAAATATTTTTTTTAAATTAAATTACAGATTTTATTTATTAAAAGGATGACTATCGTAATTTTTTTAAAATTATATATATATATATATATATATATATATATATTTATAATTTAATATTTTTTTTAAAAAAATTAATATTTACACTAAATTTGTATTAATCTAAATAAAATATTTACATATAATTTTAATTTGTTAGTTTTTTTATAAACATTAAAATAAATAATTAAAGATATTAAATAAAATTTAAAAGAAATATATATTCTATTATATTTCTATAGTTACTCTTTTATTTATATGTTATTTACATTAATCAAAATGAAATACTAGATAAATTAAAAGGACCGACTGATTTGGATGGGTCAGTATAAAAATTTTAAAATTGTTATCATTGTAATAAACTTTTATAATGATTTATTTGGATATTCAATTATTTTAGTAAAAGATTTAGGCAATACATACATTATTTTAAAAAAAAACTAAGGTGCTATAATTATAATTATATAATAATAATAATAATAATAAAATAAAGTTCAAAAACAACACCATTTATCGTCGTTTATAAAGTTGAAAAATATTATCACAGCCGTTAGCAATTAATGCATCGTCTGCAGCGAGGCACACCGTGTCAAACTACCGACAAATCACCGTCCATGCGCATTTTGCTATTATGCGCATTTTCTTCTCACCACACAAGTTCTTTTATTTTTTTTTACTTGTCTACAATTTCAATATTTAAATTTTTAAATTCAAATTATTAATATTTTGTTTATTTTTAAATTTTAGAAAAAAATTAAATTAGTAACAAGTCCTTCTAGTCTAATTACTACATCACTATTATTTTGTTACAGTATCATGCCTAAAAAAAATATAAATAAGTGAATAAAGTTAAATTTTTTATAAATAATTAAAATTAGAGAATCAAATATATCTATAAATTATATATATACATATAAATTATTATTTAAAAAAATTAAGAACCAAAATTACACATTTTTTATAATATAAATTATTTTAATTTATAGAAAAAATATTTTTAATTTTAATTCTTTTTATGTTTGAAGTGTTTATAGAAATTATTTTTTCAACATGATCATAATTTTTAAATTAAATTTAATTATTTTGTCTGATAAAATTATATGATTTTCGTAATTGGTTCATTTTTAAAAAGTTAATTGAATTAGTATAAAATTAATAAAATTCGACGATTTTAGTAAAAAAATTAAGATGGAAATAAATTTTTTATAGATATAAATTTATTTTATTTTTTCCAAACACTTCAATTTTAAATAATAATTTTTTAAACTTTTCATTTTATTTTATGTTTATTAATTTTTTATTTTATTATATTTTATATTTGTAATTTTTACTATGATTAATATGATTATAATAATAATAATTTTTGTTATTATTGTAATTATTGTTTTTCTTTTATATACAATTGGTTGTTATTAATAGATTTATTATACTGTTATAAGATATTTTATTAAATCTAATTAAACCGAATTAAAATTGGGTTAAAAGATATCATGTCTTGATCCACTGAGTAAACAAGTTTTAAACATTGATGATTTTAGTAGTATCATACTCTAATGTTTTATATGGGCTTGCATTAAAATTGTAAAATTTTAGTTTAGTCAATTCTAATTGTGAACAAAAATGGCGCTACATTAATATTTTGAAAACCCATATTATTAACAGTTAAGATTCGTTTGGTATAACTGAAAAATACAACTGAATCTAAATACTACTAAGATGGAACGTTTACAATGTAAGAAGCTAAAAAAAGTATAATTAAGTGAACAAAAATAATTAATAAATAAATACATTTCTTCGTCATCTTCTAGATTCTCTCGCTCTCACTGCCACTCTTACCCTCATTCCACCGCTTCGCCACTACACTTTTCTCACTTCAATCCATTTTCAGGTGATTTATTCATTTTTTTGTTTATTGAAAACGAAGAAATTTCCAATTTTTCCATCAATTTCATTCTGACTTTTTCCGATTTCCTGTACCATTGCTGTTCGTTCTGTTTTGGTTGTAGTCTTTTCTGTGTGGAGTATTAAGTCAATTAATTATTCAATGAAATAAAAAAAAAACCAGAGTGTATGTTATGGGTTCTTTTGTTTCAGGAACAATGGGGGAGCACGTGGTTTTATCTGTTGTTGAGCCTCTTCTTGCAGCACCTGCAACTGTGCAACCCCAGCATGATGGGGATGCCCAAGGTTCACCCATTGAGGGTGCTACTCAAGTCAATGATGTTGGGGAATGTGATACACTGCAAGAACATGAACAAGAACAAGAAAAAGATCTTACCCAAATGGCGGAGTGTCGCATTTGCCAGGAAGATGATACCCTTCAAAATTTGGACATACCCTGTTCTTGCAGTGGAACCTTGAAGGTATTTTTATACTAAACTTTCTTGCGTGCGAACGAGGACAGTAAGCAATGAAATTAAGTTTTTTTTTTTTTTTTTTGGTTTGTTGCGTTCTGTATGTATTCTTAGTAAGTAATTAGGACAGTGGATTGTTGCTTTCAATGAGAGGATGTGTTATACTAATTAGAAACGAACTTCTTTGGGATAAAAGTACTAGCGTGATGTTTTCATGAATGGCTTCCTCTTTCTTAAATCAGTGCTTCACATTTCAGAGGGTTGTCTGTTTCCAGCAGTTATTGTGTACAAGTAATTTGGACTGCATGTTGATGTGTCTTCCAATGAAGCAGTGTGAATTGCGATTGTTATATTTTTTTTCTCATAACTGATAACAGTTATTGAATAGAATATTTTGAATTCATAATCGTTGTTCAATTGATTTTTGCTTTAACTCCCGTTCCCTCTCATCATTGTAAAATCTTCCAAATATGAAAGTTGCATTAATATATTTTTTTTTCTGTATTCCAGTTTGCTCATAGGGGATGTGTTCAACTATGGTGCTACGAGAAGGGTGATACAATTTGTGAGATCTGCCATCAGGTGACTCGTTGAAATCTTAGCATTAGCGACAATATATCTAGCGCTAAGAAGCATATATATTGTAATTAACATGTGTCTTTGTTTTAGTTGAATTTTAGGCATTGTAGGATTTTTCTGCTAATTTTCTTGTGGCTGTGTATAAAGTAGGGGCATGTTTGGATACACCAAGCATATTGATAATTTGCTTGTGGATTATATAATGATTACGTTTGCTGGTGATCTCTGATTTGAGACACTGGAAAACCCTCTTAGACATGACATTAATGATTAATTAGAGTATTTATTTGCAACTTTTAATTCTGCCATGTTGATAATTGAGGCATGTATAAAGCAAAGTTACCGGTGCATTTTGTTTCCTTTCTAGATGTTTGGTGTGCAGTTCCCAAGATCATGTGTATACAACAAATTTAAGACTTAGGAATAATTTGCCAAGCGAACTACTTAGGTTTATGTGTAGGTGATGTGCCCACACGCAACATAATGAAGGTGCTAGAGGCTAAAATGAACACAGACTAAAGAGGCTGCGTTAAGGCAGGCTCGGGTGGTCACAATCAAGACGGTTTCCAACAAATTAATTTTATGGAGAATCTCCATATAGGAAAACGAGCATGCCGTGAAAGATTAGTGAGAAAGAGAAAAAGAAAAAGGCAAAACCAGAAACAATAGATGGCTGTAAGTAATAGGATAAAAGAGAGATAATTGGGTTTTAAGTACCAAAGGTTGATAAGATAGAAAACAACTACGAAGTCATAGGGCCAAATTATTGCATTTATTAGTTTCTCAGATTAAGTTAATAGTTTTTAACAGAAAAGTTTACTTGACATACAGCCATTCAATCCCGGCTATTCTGCAACACCAGCTGTCTACCATCGTGGAGATACTTCAATTGATATCAGGTAATTCCACCTTTTGAGTATTGACTTGATATTTTTCTTTTAAATATACACACGAATCTTTATAAATACATATGTAGCTATGTTTGCAATTTTGCCTTGGTTATTTATTTTACTTCTAGACTTCATTATAATGAGCGAGACTAAACTTAAGAGATGTCTAATGGAAAGAGTGGAGAGTTCTGTAGGGGGCTAGGTGAATTTAAGCTTATTTATTGGTATTCTTCCCTATTATGCTAGTTTATATCCATTTCTTTTTTATGTAGTTTATATTCTTGCAATATTTTGAATACCACTTGTCCAAGCTAAACTATCATTATCTGCTCTATGTACCGAACATCTACGGTACTATGTTTTCCTATATCATGACTGCTATGGTTCTTTGACTTATGCTTCTGCATATTGGGCAGTGGTGACTGGGCGACCTCTAGTATTCCTTTTGATTTGCACAATTCTCGACTTTTGGCTACTGGTGCTGTAGAGCACCAAGTTCAGGAGACTCATGAAGATTATGTCTATGCTGCTGGCACTGGTGGAACTACATTGTGGCAGTCTGTTGGTCTAATTGTAAGAGTTTTTAATTAAGCTCATGAAGTTCAATTTTATGGTTTTCAGATTGTTTCATGTTAGGCATGAGATTCAATATTCTTGAACTTTTTCTTTCCTATTCTTATCCACGGGACCACTGCACCTTTTCTGATTGTTGTCCTTCAGATATATTTATGTATATGTATGTGGTACTTACCCATATGTATTTTTGTTGGGTGTATGGTTGCAATATTGTAAAATCTTATATATTAAATAACTTCACTGGTCCATTTCCTCAATTTATGTGCTTGAGTCTTTCACAAAATTTGCAGTTAATGGCTGTTTTACTACTGAGGCATGCTGCTCCCCTCTTCAATGTTGATGTGGAGAAAGTTTTAACATATTTTTATGTAAGTTGTAATCTAAATGATTAATCGTGCTGCTTGTTATGTGCTGCTTGTTATATAGCTGATTGATTGATTTCATAATACTTAATGTTTTTCAGTTTTTCTTTCTTTGGGCGGCTGCTGTTGTCCTTTCTTGCTATCTTTTGGCCTGGATAATTCGCATAATACAGCATCAAAGGCAAAGACAAGTTACTACCCTGTGCTTATTCTAATAATAAATATTTGTATTATTTTCCTTTCCTTTTTTCATTTTTCATATTTTGATTAATCATATGATGCCATTTGGTAGGCCATTTAAGATTATAAGATTTAAGTGAGGTATCAATATGAATGCCAACATGATAGTGATTTCAGACTAAGTTTTAATGATGGGAAATGTTTTTGTCTGGGTTCGCTTTTCAACCTGTACTTATTCTAGTACATCTTTGCTTTGTCCTTTTTATTTTTCTTTTATGAACTAACGGGATCATTATTTATTTTGGATCAGCAAACACCTGAAGAACTTGCATTTATGCTACAAACAGAGGAATAACAAGGTTAGCAGTTTGCAATATCACCAGGATCTGTTTTTCACTGATTAATTCCCATAAGTATTGTGGAATGTCATCCCTAATACAAGGACGATAGAAATTGTAGTTGGATGATCAGTGGTGCAGCAGAATAAGATCTGACGGCTCTGTTTCTGGTTCTCCATTTGTATCTTTCTGGGGTTATAATACCCTCTCTCTCTCTCTCTTGTAAATAGGTATTCTACACATTATCTCATCAGCCCAAATGCAGCTTCTGCAGTTGCTAATTGGGAAATTGATGTTAACCGGAAGTGTTCTTCACCTATGAAAATATTTGTATACATACATTTTATTGATGTCCTTGATATATTTGAAAATAGAATAATTTCATCAAACAATGTTTTAAAACTAATTTTGGCCTTTTACTATTATTTTCTAGTATTAGCGAAGAAGTGTAGTTTATGTGAACCTGCCTAATTTACAATAAACTGTCATTCGAGTTCAAGACTTGTATGCCATTTTGTTGTTATCGGCTAACTTCTATGAGCATCCTGGGGATAGAAGAGTTGAAAAGGGAAATTAAAGAACTCATTTCTATCTTTGAACAAATTATTTGAATGTGCCGCTGAAGCATTCATCCAACAGCCGAGACTGACATGCCTGATGCCGTAGTTTTGGATTGCGGTTGCAGTTTCATGCTATTCTTGACATTGTGTGAAATTTCTGTTGACGGGACTGTAATTGTAGTTACGATGCAGTTGTGGTGATTACAATTGCTTTATGTTGTACCAAGTGTGGTGATGAGCTGCAATTTAAAACCATAAACCATGTTTGATGGTTCAACATTGAATCAACAACGCATGCAGCATGGTAGGTAATGTTACTTTCAGAGTTCCAAGTGTCTCATCAAGGCAGTTGCTAGTTTTGTTCAGTTTTCTTCCTGTTAGTTTTTCACAACTCATGATTAAAATCGTTTTTTGTTATTCATCAAGTGTAAACCATGTTCTGCATTTATATATTTTTCGTACAGTGCCAATTTTTTGTCGAATGTATCACGTTGCTATTGCCTCTCTGTTTTACAACTTCCACTTGAAAGCCATATTGGATAAGCTTTGTAAGAAATACTTCCAGGAGAAAATAAAATGAAACTTTGAAATTAATTTATATACATCAGTATTTTTAGAACTTTTAATTTGACATGGGCATATAAGAAAGCCTTTTGAAAATTTTAAAAATTTGGCTGACAGTCCAGTTTTTTCTAAGTTTTGTGTAGTAGCCCTACCATAAAGGATTATGATTGTTACGTTTAAGTAAATATCAATAATTTTTTTGAGATATTTTTCTCTTTTTGGGTTTTCAGGACCAATCATTCTACCAGTTGAGAACAATGAAAGCCGTTTTAACAGTGACTGGCTACACCATTACTCTGATTTTTCTAGTACCAATTTGAGCTTGCTCTTTGTGTGTGTCTTTTTTTATTCTTAGTTGGTGAAACTGGTCCAACCTGGTGCGAGGTGGGTAGAATAAAGTTCAGACACAGTCGACTTAGTCATATTTTATCAGATCAAGTAATCTTCAAAAGTTATGGCTATTGGTGTTCTTCCTTCCTTTTTCAGTGTGATTGGGAAGAAATTATTATATGGTTTAAATAATGTCAAAATTACACACAACTATATTTTTCAGTTTACCAATTAGTTAACATAACTGAATTACGTATCATGTAAACATTGATTAAAACCATGGTAGTTTGGAATTACATAGTGATTTCTCATGATTGGGGAGGGGTTGTAAGGAGATTATTAGCATATGCTGTTTTAATCTATCAATTCCTATGTGATAAGCTAGAATCATTTGGTTCAAACTACTTATGGTTCAGCAACTACATCTTAAAAGCTGTATTCTCTGGGGAAGGATTGTTTTTGAAAGCAACAGTTCACTTATTTCTTTTACTTTTTTTTCCTTGAGAAAACGGTCATGTATTTCTTTTACTTTAATACAGCTCTAAAGTGGTCAGAAAGAATATCTTACTCGTTGGCTATGTTCTTGAATTCACCTCCCTAATTTTCTTTCCTCTTTCATGGTTACTACTTGATTAAACGTATGAAGTAACTTATTACTGAAACCACGTAAATTTATAAATTACAAAGAAAAAGAGTGTGAGAGATAGAGAATAAGAGAGTTAAGTGTGGTCGTCATGGATAAGCGAGAAAAATAAAGGGGGACATAAAGACTGGATTTTGAAGCTAAAATATGTGTTCTTTTACAACTTTGAATGTTCTTAAAGTTCATAAACAAGGATGCATTCATTCTTAAATATAAATAATTTTTAAGTTAAAGGGTAAATATACCCTTATGAAATACTTGTTAATATTGTATTAGATAAATATAAAAATTTGAAATTTGACAAAAAAATTGGTAGAAATCAATCGTGGTTGTGCTCCAGAGATGTGATCATTTGGTTGAATCAATTTTTGTACCATTGTATATTCCTGTACTTGTATGTTTCAGAGATCACTTCACTTGGGTAGAAGTGTTTTGAAGTAGAGATGGAAGAAAAGCATAAAGGAAAAATCCATTGAGCACTATAAACCAAGACTAGGATTGCATGGAGTGAAGAGCTTGGAATTCTAAAGACTCTTGGCTTAAAGAAAGTGCTTGAACATGAAAAGCCTGTTATTGGTTGGTTCGTTTTTCCCGGAGGAGTGCCATTCCCTACCTTCTTCCAAAATTCTCTACTTTTAATGGCTTTCTTGTCTCTGTTGCATTACGTTAGGGTATCTTTACACAAATTTCTCACTAAGAATTTAAAGGAGACAAAATATAATAAATATTTTTTTCATAACTTCAAAGGTTAAAAAATAAAAGTCAAGAAAAAAAAATATGAATTAGCTTCTACAAATTAATTTTTTCATAACTTAATTTTTCATTTGTTTTTACCTTTTGTTTGATTTCACCATTACTTTGGATAACAACACCTCTTACATAAATAAAATTGATGTTATAGATGTTATTACTAGTTTCCTTATTTAGGATTCTTTTCATGAGCGTCCTTCAATGTAAATTAATCTCAATAATAAATAGGTTTGGCATTAGATCGTGTGTTAATATGTACATCGAATTGTTTCTTTTTTCATAAGCCAAATACACCTCTTGAACATCTCATTAGAGTTGTTAGTATCTTGACTTTAAAAATCAGTATTCATTGTTGACATGACAACTCTTATATAAGACGAGTTGATTATGCAGGTAACAATTTTTATGAATTGTGAGACAATTAAAAGACCCATTTTTAGTTTTCAATAATTGCAATGTTGAAGAGAAAACTTGTTCAAATTCTTAAATCTCACGTAGTATTATAGGACTTTCTAAAAATGAGTTAAACAACTCTTTGGTGATTGTACCATTAGAGATTGTCTTAGCAGTGAAAGAAAAATGGTTTCTTTAGGAGGGGGTTTGTTTTGGATCAAAATCACTTTTATGTTTCCATTTTCTCTTCATTGAGGGTATAATTTAGTAGGTTGGTTTTTTCATGGAACATCTCAGAAAAAAGAAAGAATTTTCCCTATAAAATAAACTCAGAAGGCTGCTAATTCAATGAGCAACATGCAGAGAATGATTCCTCTCATTGGCATATAAGTCTTGAGGATATGGTACAAGGACATGTCAGCAAGGGAAGATGACGTGGAAGACTAATAAAGTGTTTGAAGACACAGCTTTGGTCTTTGTTTGGTGAAAAAGAGCAACACTATAGGGATGTAGGGAAACTGAATGGAAAGATACTTGGCTTCCCTAGGATATTGTTCCAATTAACTTTTGTTCAAACCTGTCACTGACAGCTTCTAAATCAGCCTTATATATTGCTTCTATAGCATTTGCTTATGATTGGGGTGAATCTAAAACTTCCCTACATGTTCTAGGCTTCTTATGCTTTTTGCTTTTGAACTTCCAAATCCCATAGAAGATAAACTGCAGGATTTTTCTTGTTGCAGCTATGAGCAGCAAGAAATAGGGAACATAAACACAGTTTCAAACCCACCACCTTCTCTTCTTTGCTTCAAACTGAGAAGGCCTTTGTTCCTCCAAATTTTCCTTAGCAAAAGATATGAGTTTCTTGTTTTTCAGAGGGTTCGTTGTCTTGGTCTGTGTTGGGATTTTAGCTTCTCAACCATGCATGGTTTCTGGCCTCAGAAGCAAAGATCTTGCTCTGAGATGGGATCCACTTGGTCAAATAGCTCGTGTCCTAAAGACTGTTGCAATGGAGGACTTGCAATCCCAGTTGGAGTTGGCACCTGCACCTTCCATGACATTTGATCCTAATCAATCAAACAAAAGGACAGTTCGAAAAGGGTCTGATCCAATTCACAATAGATGTTAACAACTCAACATGCTATGGCTTTGTCCTTTTTATTTTGCGAGAATGACAAGTGAGTTCCCTAATGCCAAGATTGTTCTTTGCTTCGTTAACAGTTTCTTAATGAGGTTGGTCGGCTTTCGATGCTCTTTTTCCTCCCCATTTGTTTTTAGTTTTGTTCAGTCTAGCTGTCAGGTGAAGAATTGCTGCTGAAAGCATCTTGTAAAGAAATCATAGGTATTGAAGAATAGCTAGATAGTTTCATGATATTGTTAGCTATCAAATACAGAATATAGTGGATTTCTCTCAATCTATCTCTATCTCTCCTTCTCTATCTCTATCTATATGACTTTTCTATATTTTGAGCATTTTTCTTGTATAATTCAGTTACTAATAACTGCTTATGGACGTATAATGATCATATTATTTGTGTGCATTTTACTCAGCTACTTCATCTTAATCATGCTTGCATTTAGTAGAATTAAGATGCAGTTCCCATGATGCAAGATTGCCTGTAGATCTGTTGTGCCCTGGAGACTTGCATCAGGGTACATCAATAGTAATTAAGCACCGCTTGGGATAATGCAAAGTCGTCATGTCATTACTAACTAGTACACTAACATAAAGTACCAAAAATTTGTGAATACATTTAACCTTTTAATATGCCATCATTACAGTTTTTTTTACCCAACTAAAACAAAAATCACATTATAAATGGCTTTTACAATAACCATTACAAAAATGAACAATTCTTGGTTTTTACAAGAAACATTCACTTTCAATATATTCCAAGTAAATTCACTTTTTAAGTACTTTCTTCTAATATTCATGTGCCAATAGGACAAATAATGAGGTATACTTCGACATTAAAATAAAAAATCTTTTCTTTTATTTTCCATCAACAAGATGAGTGATTCATCAAAAAGAAAAAAAGCATGAGAATGAAACCAATGAAGAGAATGGGAGCTTGCAACTAGCAAACAAATGGGACAAGGTTTGTCTCTTCCACTGGCATGTTGAACTTGACTGAGACCAAGGTCATTGGATTCTAACGAAACAATCTCAGAATTTCAGTTAGTCTTAACACGAAGCTGAGATCTCTGGTATCTGTTCTTTCTGTGCAAATTGAACTTTACTGAAGCTATCTTTCTTGCAACTTGCTGCCAAATCATATTCACTGCATCCCCAGGTTGGGATGGATACTGATACTCAAAGTGGGGTGTAATTTCCTTCAATCTTTCCCACATCTTGTTCCACTCATCCCGTTTGATTGACCGAAGGAGATTCAGCAGGTAGCCTTTCTTCATGGCGTCAGAGGCACGAACAAATACAGAAAAGTATGAGTAGTCCAAGACATCTTCAAAGGGTAGCTCAATTTCATCACTAATGATCACAGGCACACAGTGGCTTACAATGGCATCAAAGAGGCGATTCGAGGACGGGGTGTCGCCAGCAATGTTGAGGCAGAATTTTGACAAGGCCATGCCCTGGCTTGCCTGATTGATCCCATTTCCTCCTATGCTCCCAAATGTGAAATGCACATCTTTTTCTTCTTTGAGGAGGTAGTATAGTTCTTGGCGAATGGCTCCTCCCTAGAGTTTCAACATGATATTTTAACTAATTAAAATGAAGAAAGACTCATCTAGCACATATATAATTAATACAACAAAACTGATAAGGAAAGTAGTATTGAAGGAAAGCGATATAAAGCAGTCTTAGCAGGATATGTTTCAGTTTTAGAATTCCAATGAATTGATCTTAAATCACGTGCCCAATATTTGTTCATAGATGTTGAAAGAGAAAAGTTCGATAACATTTAGAAATCAACCACAAGTCCTTTCTTATATTTGGAAGCATGAAAATGTAATATTCTATTGTACCACCTCAGAAATGAAGGCTTGTATACAAGCTACAATGAACCCACCTGAGCTGATTAAACTTGTAGATGATATATATTAAACTAACACATTATAGCTATTGATATCTCTGTTTTCCTTCTGAAATTCAATAAAATATGATCTACTATTGACATCTTGAGAAGCAGCTAGTGCCAAAGAACATGGAGTTGAAGTTTGTTTTTAAAAATAATTTAATACCAAGGATGAGGAGGACAGGGAGCTTGTTGATAAAGGTGACAGTAGCATATTTGTCATGTGTCAGTTCTCTATGCTCGTATCATGTTTGTTAAAAGAAGGTGCTGGGTATATGCAAGTACTTGGATCAAATCTTACCTTTCAAAAGCCCCAAGCCCCAAGGTTTAGTGTGTTCTTTAGATGACATGGGTGAGTTATCTACTTGTTGAAATCGGTAAAGGCTCCTGAGATCTATTATCTATGTCATAAATGTTACAACCTACAAGGAGTTCTTAATTCTGATATCCACCCAATTAACAAGTCAAGAAGCTAATGTAGCTTGACATCATGCCAATACACAATAAAATGGAACACAGGCCCTTTTGATGACCTAATATGAGCATAATCAATAGCCGTTTAAATTCATAGATGAAGTTACCGCAAAAAACTGGGAATGGAAGTGTAAAACTAGTTAATATGAGTATTTTTTTTCGTATTAAGGTAGTCATGCATTAAACAGATAACATGAGTGCAATAGAAACTCACATCTTTCCTGTATATTGCTCCCTGGAAATACACCAGTGTGGTACGTTCTTCATATGAAGCTGATTTAGCCCTTGGTATGGTGCGTACTAGGTGCCTGTAGGGGGCTATTATATCTTTGTTGATATTTGCTAATTCAGCAGGATACCTTCCAAAATCTGCAAGAACAAGCATGGCAGAACCCAATTTTCTTCTTGCATCCAACAAGCTGTTAGGATGGTGGGCTACAATCAGATGATCCTTCCCTCCTGAACGTTTCCATTCTTTCCGGCCCATTAAGAACTGCACCAATTTGTCCTGCAACATTTTGTTAACACTAACTTTTTCCACTCCATGAAGCTTGGAATGCCGATTGTAACTCAGAGATGAGAAAAATGGCACAAAAATTACATCTGCTTGACTTGAATCCTGCACTCTAATTGCAGAGCAAGAATGGCCAACTTTGGCGGTGTTTGATGACAGAAGATCAAGGGTGAGCCAGTATTCCATGCTGTGCTGCAAGTTCAGACCACCTGGATAGCGAGGGATACCTTTGGGGTTATCAACCTCAGGCCATGTTTGATTCACACTTCCCTTCCAACCCAATAAACCAAAATGAAATTCTGGTGGCAAGTCATACATGAATACTTTAAGTAAAGGGCGACTTGTATGAGATGGCACATTCACCTGTTGTCCCACAGAACTTGTTTTATGTCTTGAATCATCAGAAGCTTGACAGTCGGATTCTCTGGGTTTTTGTGATTGAAATTTTAAATCCTCGGAAGGGTAGGGAGGGAGTACCATCTGCTCTCTCTTCAAATTGGGCATGAAGTAAAGCGACGCATTATTGACAAGAATAAGTTCTAATACTGATCTAGGTATCAAAGAATGACTGCCAAACTGGAGTAGGAAAAGGGATGACAGGACCAAAAGGAACATAGAAATGATCATCACGCAAAATATAAACCTTGAGTGAACCATGATCTTCTCTGACATTGTTGAGGATCAAACAAGGTCCAATCAAGCAACCTTCCAGTGAATACAGCAAATAGAACAACACACCGAAAGAAAAAAGATAGAGCAGCTCAAAGGGTAAGCTAATCCACAACACGAAGCAAAAACCTTGATGGGGGCTATGGTTTTAGCAATAAGCCCTTCTCAATCAGAATCCAAAGCTCAAATCCCTCAAACCCAAAAGACCATGCCCACCCATTAATGGCTTCTCAACCTTCTACAATGTTGGAGAAGATCTCTCAATTGCAATGGCTTGCAAATACAACGGAATGTGAAAACCCCCACTTCTTACAGAACACACTGATGAGACACAGTATAATCCATCAACTAGAAATGCCTGTGAAATCCACCCTTTGTTGAGCCAAACCGAAACTAGCAACAAACAAATACCCAAAAAAAAAAAAAAAAGTTCTCAGCTTCAGCATTCCATTGAACAGTCTCAGGAGGTGCAATCATTAGAAACCCAAGAAAATGTCTTGAACTGAACACAACAAGAAAATTAAAGAGGAATTTGCATCTGGGCAAACAATTTTTATTTTTTTTTTGGGTTGAGCAAGAATGAGTACCTGACGATAGAGATTGATGCAGCACTCACTCCATCACTGTGTTAAGTCTTCACACTCAGACAGCAGAGGAGAAAAGGAATAAACTTTCTTAACAAAGGTTTATGTTTTGTTAGGGGTGCAGGCCTAACGTGTGCGAATTGCAAGTTTCATCACATTCATTTATTCTTCCATCATCAAGTCTCAACCTTTCTTGCGGAATTCAAATACCCATTTAATGCATGCACTTATAGCACTTTCTACTTCAAAATTACATTCTCATTTTGCCTGTTCATGATGAGTAATTAGGGAAACTCTGTGTTTCTAAATATTTTATAACATTTAAACTTAATTCATGTATATTAACTAATATAACTTTTAATATAAAGCCAATAAACTTGTTTTAAATGGTAATTTACTATTAGAGATAAGTACAGAAAATTTTCACATTATACATTATTTATACTACTGATTAGGTTTTATGCCACCAATTAGGAAATTAATTGATTAATTCATTTGAAATCTGAAGGAGTATGGTGTTGTATTGCGCGTCACATAATTCTTTTAGGAGAAAAGTCAAAATCTTGATTTGCTCAATGATCTTGGAAAATAATCTTCCCAGTGATGGTACGCAACTTATTGAATACCACCTTTTTTTTTATTGTTTTTTAGGTCTAAACAGTTTCTCTTTTTCATCTTATTATTAATTTCAGTACTATTTTTTCAATAAACTAATATTTTTTATTCCGTCCACACAATTATATTCTTTATGATAATATAAATATAATATAATATTTTTTGATTATGTTAGTCTAATTGATTTACATTTTATATATAAAATAGAAATAGAAAGTAACAAGTAAAAAAGGGTTTGAATGGATAGCATTTGTTTGATGCAGTAAATGAAGAAGACAACTGTAAAGTAAGCGCATGAGAAGGGAAAGAAGCTTATTCTTTTGAACTTTATAAACCAACTTAATTATACTTTTAGAATGGTGTTCCTTTATTTATGTCAATTTTTTGGTAGGTCAGAAAATAGAAAATATTCTGAAAATAAGGAATAGAATCAATCCTATGCCATTTTATTTCACACAATTCCAAACACAACATAGATTATTAAGTATTTAGTTTTTGCGTATGCATAACAAGACAAAGCATGTTGATGAGGTGTCACGTGTCAACCGACACGATGTTTCAGAAACTTTTCTTTACTCGAATTTCTTCTCATTTCTAAATGACAACTTAATAACAGTGTCTAATTTACTTATTGGGCAGAAGAAGGTCATAACAACAAAGTTTATATTTCCTTGATTAGGAATTTTCAAATATCAAATACTTGGCGTCTCGTGCTATTTTTAGCTTCTTAAAAATAAAGAATCAGGAAGCCTTTCACACTTCACCCCGCCTTGTGAAAAGACAGGTAAATGTGTTATTAGCAAATATTCATTAATATATTTTTTTATATAAAATTATTTTATGTATATGTATTTTTAAAAACATAATTTTAATCATATAAATAATTTTTATTTATTAATTAGTATTTTTATTAGATAAATAAAAATTGTCATATTTATATATTTTAATATAAAAAATATAATATTTTTAATTATAAATTTTTATTTTAATATAGTAATATTTTTTTTAATATGAGTCAGTTGACTTTTTCTTATTTTTAATTCATAAAATTAATTAAACTAAATAGAATGGATTAAAATAAATTAATAAATTAACATTATTGATGTATTGATCCGTAGGACCAACTCATTTTCTATTTCTAATCTCAATAAATGATTGTAATAATAATTACTTACTTGTTTTTTCTTTTTAAATTTATTTTCAAAAAATTAATTTCTACAAAATTTCTATTTAAATGCATTATGAAAATATCGAGATATAACTAATGACTATTCCAATTCATAAATCGATTCATAATAACTAAAGTTCGATCATAGAAATTGTTTATGAAAAAAAAAACAGAACCCGAACCTAATTTTGAATTGGGTTTGATTTTTTTTATGATTTTTAATTTGAAAATAATTTGAAATATGAAATTACGTTAATTAATCTATTGTAATATTATTCAATAAAAGTATTATTATCATTAAAATAGTGTTATTTTATTATTAATTAATAGATTTATTATTAATAATAAATTTATGACTTTAATAATAATAATAATAATAATAATAATAATAAATGGATAATTTACTTATAAAAAATTGAACATTAACAAATAATATTATAGTAATTAAAATTTATTGGTAATTTTTGTAAATATTGAAATATATAACCATATTAAAAATAAATTCATTCATATATTAACTTAAATTTTTTATAATAATATATTGTAAGTAAATATATTACAAAAATGACGTATATAAATTTTAATTTATAGTTAATTAATTTTATTTTTAATATAAAATTTTGTAAAATTCTTATCTGCGTATATAATAAAGAATTCAAATTCATAATTATAACAAAAATAATATTTAATAAAAACTATTATAGTAATTGTTTTTTGTTTAATAAATATTAATATACTTTATTAAATAAAATTTATTTTGGAATTATTATTTCAAAAATATTGTAAATTTATTTAATGTTAATATTTAATTATATTATAATATATTAAATTAATTTAATATTTTAAAAATTTATATTTTAATTAAAAATTCACAGACATAAGAAAACATAAAATCAAAACCTACTTCTGCGTCCGGTTCCTAGGAAACCAAAATTTGAACTGTAAAATGGACCATTTTGATGATTAAAATTTAGTTTTTCAGAAATGGAATTTTCTAAATTGGCGTAGTAAACAAGTGTCTAATAAATGTTTTGATAAAATAATTAGATAGGAATTAGGTTTATTTGGGGAAAAAAAATCCCCTTTTTTAAGGTTTTTATATTTGCAACAGGCCAATAATAACATCAGTCTTTTATTTTTTTTTCTCATTCATTTGATGGGTCAGCCACTCTTCGGTCCCAGAAAAATGGGCCCAAAAAGTGATAGAATGACGTAACAGAAGTCCATTGTCTGTGATATACAGCAAGAGTGGGCTTTTACTAGTTGCACCCCAACTAATTCCCCCGCACCTCATATGTTTCAATATGACAAGTTTGTTGAAGTTAGTTGCTCCGGGGTGGAATGTACTGGAAAGTTGGTGGATAAAACCTGAAGAAATTAGTTACTTATTTTGTTTCAAATGTTTGAAAATGCTTAATAAATATAATTTATCCATCTTCGGCCAAAAACCATTTTGAATATATTTTGCTACGAGCAACTCGAGAATTTATTTTCCAAAATTTTCTTATTCTCACCTAAATGTGAACGTGACGACATACTCTCCAACTAAGTTTTTCGAATATAGATATAATGTTTTCATCTATAAAAATATCTAACACTCAAATTAGTAAGTACAATGGGTTTTCCTTGAAAATATTGGCTCATTCTTATTTACGTGATCTTATTCAACCAATTTCCAATAGAAATAAGAGGTATTTATTTCATCACATTGATTATTATTCTTAAAAAACTTGGTTGTATTTTTACGTGAGAAATAGAAAATATTTAAGTTCTTTAAAGAATTCAAAGTCAAGGTTGAACTTGAAGGTGAATTCACTTCATCAAATTTTTGCAAGTTTTTTGTGTTGACTTTTTGTAACCCAAAACTGTATTAAGAAACTGTTGAGACTAACAGATTTCTTGTAACAGAACCAAGCTTTAAATACTATTCATTTTTCATGTAAATGTAGAGTGTATAATAAAAGTTGTGATTGTGAATACTTATCTTTGTAGAATCCTCTCTTCTCTTGTTGTGTGGTTGACACGATCCCTGCAAAATAAGAGAAACGTGATTAGTGAAGCAGATAGGAGAATTAATCGGTGGAGAAAGGAAAAGAGGCTGATCGGTGAAGGAGAAATACCTAGGTTCGAGAGTGTTGTACTGCAGGAGAGAGAGAGACGAGAAAGGGGAGAGGCAGAGTGGTAGGTGAGAGTAGTGATAAGAAGAAATAGATATTTCTTCTGCAATTGGGCTGGTGAATAGTAAAAGGCCTAACATATTGGTATCAAGAGCAAGGTTCAAGAAAGAGAATCTTGGGAGTCTTGGGAGTATTGTTGTGTGTTCTACTCATGGTTAGTGGTGGTTTGATCCCGGGAAGCTTACCCATATTTGATGGAAAGGGTTATGATGATTGGTGCGTAAAAATGGAGGCCATTCTTGGATTTCAAGAAATTGATGAGATTGTGAAAGTGGGTTTCAAAGAACCACCCAAGAATGCGGATGAAGGAGCCAAGAAGACATACAAGGAGATGAAGAAGCTGGATTGTAAGACCCGTGTATTGTTGCATCAATGTGTTGCAGCTCCTATTTTTCAGAAGATCTCAAAAGTTGTCACAGCAAAGGAGGTTTGGGAGATTTTGCAAAATGGGTATGGAAA